ATTCCGCAAAGTATTACTATGTTAATATGCTTTGTGACCTTAGAAAATTTTGTTTCCGTCATCCTAAAGAATATAATGCCAAATATTTACGATATTTGAGTAATTCCTTGTTAAGATATTGATGAATTTCGGCGAAAAACATGACCGCCATTACTTTCCGTGTTGACTGTATGTCAAAAAAATATATATAAATTTAATAAATTTAGTCTGAAAATAAGCTATCCTTTTTGATTCCCAAATTATGCAAAAAATAACTTATTATCAAGTTCAGATTCCAATTCAAATATAAGTATTATTAATATTATATTTCATATATAAATTAATAATCATTTCAAAAAAAGTTTTAACAAATTATAACTTTAAACTGATAATTACAAAAGTATCTATGACACGCCAGCCATATCTTTGAAAGGCTGATAATTTTCAAGGGATAAATAAATCTAAGCGTGGGGAGAAATCAGATAGCAAACTAAAGAATATATCTACAATACATATTATAAAATCCAAACAATGAACGGTATATGATATTCATGAGCTCAATTCTTTCAAAGTTACTTTCAACAAATCATGCATTTCGCTGCCCTCAAAAGAATTTTTTGTTCTCCCAATTAGTGTTCTCAATAATATTTTTGCCTGATATCGCCAATCTTTACATACAACTTTTTCAGTTTCATTAATAGACGTAACATCCGTCGCGTTACTCTTAGTTTCTTCCTTTATGACAACTTTCAAATCGCCTAAATTCTGATATATCTCAACAACATTCAGTGCTGTAGCAGCCACTTGGTTAAACACCTCCAAGGAAGTATCTAATCGTGGATCATGTAATACACATCGATAAGCTTTTAAATGAGCCTCCAAACAGCGATCATATTGTTTCTGCCAAAACAAAAAATCTGCAAAAATATGCCATATCTTTTGATTGGTTGTTAATCGTGAAGTTATGGTCTCAGTTAATAATCGCTCAACTTTAGGTGCAAGCCTGTCACTGTTATCGAGTCCACGTGTCACCGAGTTTACAATTATTTCGAGAACCTCAAGATCAACACATTTTTCTTTTTCCTTTTCCCAACGTAAATCCACTACACGTTGCATTGCGCGTATAGCTTCTGAAAATTCCCCGATATCTATCGCCGTGTACATGTAATTTGTCCAAATCTTCCAACTATCATAATTTTGTTTCAAAGCTTGTTGAAAAGCATTAAAAGCATCAATTTTTCGACCTTGTTTTATAAAGTTTGATGCAAGATTATTCCATGCCTCTGAATTTTCTGGGTCAATGCTGATTACTCGTCTAAATGCTTGTATAGCAATATCCCAATCACTAATATGCATTGCAGCACATCCTTGCATAAACCAAGAATTTTCGAAAAGCGGATTGATTTTGAGTGCCTTGGCATAACATTCTATTGACTTTTGGTATTGTTGTTGTTTGTACCAATATCCACCTAACGATCTCATCGCACGAGCATATCGATTCCCGGATATTTCCCAAGCATGTTCCCAGTGTTTCGGATCTTTTTCAATATCACCCAAAATACAATATAATTTAGGTGAATTCGGTGTTATATTTAATCTTTCATGAATTATCTCCTTGGCCTTATTTTCCTTTTCCAGCATTACATAACAATTAATAATTTCTTCCCATAACTCCAATCTTTCAAATATTTCTAACGCTGAACGAATAACTCCAAGAGACATAAATCGTCCTGCTAACTCTTTTTCCATATCCCATTTCGAGGGCAAGAGTATTTGATAGAAATATTCAATACGTTCTTGGGCGTTAGGTGATTCAAGTGGAAATTGATCTACTAAAGCTTGCAGTTGAAGAGCTGAACGCTCCACTGTACGTGATTTTTCCTTTTCAAGTCTTGATCTTAACAGTAATCCCATTGTATGCACCATCCAGTTATTAGGATTTTCAAGAACACGAGACACATAAGGAACCATTTGTTCAGTAGTTATAATGTGCGAAGGATTAGTATTTTTGACATTCAAGCAAAAGGCTAAAAGTATACATTGATCGATGATTTTAAGATTAGTTTGAAGATCTTTTTCGTTCTCTTCAGAATCTGCCTCGTTTTCTTCTCGTTTCTCACTGGCTTCATCTTTATTAAATTGAATATTTTCCAATAACGTATCATCATTTAATAAAACATTTTCAGGTGCTTTATTACTTGAACTAGTCACAGTTTCTCCAGATCTATTCGCACTGCTCGCGACAATTAAAAGCTGTGAAACATCAAATGTTTGGAATTTTGTACGTCTGCCCAATGCACCAGTGACTTTCCATTTTAAGCCACTAGCCTCTTGTGCTTTGACGAAATGATTTACTGCGAGCGCATCTTGTCCATAGTAATGATAGACTAGACCGTATTCCGTATGATATCGAGCGTGTATCGGTGAATTTTCTTCAGATAATTGGGAAAAAACATTACCGAGAGATTCGAGATATTTGAGTATAGAATCGTGTAATGAACCAACAACGTTGTCAAGGATTCGTTGCTGGATAAATAATGCCCTTTGACCCCACCAAGGTGTAGTTTTTAGACTTGACAAATAAGCTGCGTTATCTATAAGAACGGTACGTGCAATTAACAGGTAGACTGCATAAGGTGTTAAATGATAGGCTTCTTCGCCGTCCGTCGATAGTAGTTCCAATGCCTTTTTATTAAGCTCATTAGAGTATTCTCTAACAGACTCGGGCAATACTTTTGGTGGTTCCAAATCGAAAGCCGGACCGGTCCAAGAATTCTGTATGAAAGCGTTTAAACAGCTAGCTGCTATGCATAGTACACAAAGTTGTTTAGATAGTGGATCTTCTCTCGAGATTTCAGAAGATTCGTCGAAATAAAGTTCAAGTCTGTATGAAATATAAGCGGCCACATTGAAAGTTTCTCTAAGCTGTTCAAGCGCAGGCTGGGCAGCTCTGGTTTCTGAATTTAGATTTGTCCCAAAGAATTCTTGAGCAAAACTTGAAGTTAAAACATCTTTGTATTGAGCTTTTACAAAGTTAGACGCAAGAATTGAAACATGTAACTGAGTTTCTTCCGCCAGTGAACCAGAAATAATTGACAATTCTAAGTATTCAATCGTGGTTTGCATGTTTGCACAGTTTTTGACGCGTGATCAATTAAACGAATATTTTAGTACAAATTATCTCATAATTTCGCGACTAGACATTCCCAGTAAAAAGGATTGACCACACTTCTAGTTTAAAACAGTCCGTAAACTATTTTTATTAGGTTAAAAAGTCGCGTCATCAGGTTGAAATTTGCAATATTTATAGTATTGTCATTACAACACAAGGACAATAAATTCATAGTCAAAAACAAACCTCGAAGTATGAATCTTTCAGATATTTATTTTACCACTTCTTGGATCACGCAAAATATATTTGCTGTGCAGTATTTACATTATATAATTCGAAACTAAAATGATCTGATTTTTGGTGATGCTGATTATCTACACATTTGGTCGAACGATTTTTCTCCACCCGACTTGTCACGTTAGCTTTGCTCTTTGGCTGTCATTTTTTCTTTCTTTACATTCCGAAGTAATAAAATATTTGATATAATGGCCTTTAGATTTTTGAGCACTACCCAAAGGCTGGTTCGACCAACGATAAATACTTTTCGTGTAGCACCGCTCGTATTTAACACAGCTGGTTTTCATGCAGGTGAGTAAATGATTTAGTTGTTTAGTACCTTAGAATTAGTGCGGCATGTCAAGTTTTATAATCTTGTAATTCAATTTTCCATTTAATAATCCTTTTAGGACGCATATTATCAATTCAATCAACAAAAACCGTCAGAGATGGAGCCAGTAATGAATCTAAATTCAATTAAACAAATGATTTTTCTTCAGATATATTTTTTATTTAACTATACGAACTTAACTATTCTACATGTCTTATTCTATAGGTTATATAAAAGGCACAGTCAACGATCCAGTAGTTCTTCCACCACGCGACAAAGTCACTGGCGCATACCACTGGGATTTTGAACGTTTTCTCGCTGTCGGATTAATCCCATTGACTGTCGCTTCGGTAGTTAACGGTGCTCACCCCATCACAGATCTGATTTTGGGAATAGCGCTACCGATTCATGCTTATATTGGCTATGAAGCTATCATTACCGATTACTTGCCTTCGCGTCGCACTCCCATCATACACAAGGTGAGCATGTGGGGATTACGTGGAGCGACATTATTGGTACTTGTTGGCTGTTATCAGTTTAATACGAATGATGTTGGGATGGCTGAGTTGGTGAAGAGAGTTTGG